TGTTTCCCCCCGTCTCTGTAATATGATCTCGGCACTCCTCGGTACCCCTAATCAACACCATTCCCCTCAGCAGACCCTCCCCTAAAGTCCGCCTCCGCTGCTTAGCTACTGACACACTGCAGTATTCTCCACAACACGCAGCTCACTGTAGCCGTAATCCGCACCCGCGAGCGCTGCGCTGGAACCGTGCGCCGTCCGGCCTTCTCATTGGTCCGCCCGCGTCGCCATGCGCGTCTCTGATTGGTGCCCGATGTACTGCGGCGGGATTTCTGCCAACCAGAGACATAAATTACACATCGGACTTTCGGTTTTCACCTTCTAGTTTAATTTCTCTTTTCAGTTTAAGACAACGTTGAACAAAATAGCACATTATTAGCTTTCTTTGTCCGTTGATTTAATGTCTTGAAAATTGAATACGTATAATTAATGCTGTCCATATTGCGAAAACTACGGCGATTAATGCCAAAATACCAAATACGGTTCGATAGCCTCGTGTTCAGATCCAATCGCATGTGCACCATTAGGTCAACGTTCCGCCCTATCACAGTATAAGCCAACAATAACGCAGGATTATCTGACGAGACAACCAATAAAAACGATGACTGCTGTTGATTCCTTGCTAACATTGTAGAGCAAGCTCAAATATTGGAGACGCAAGGCACCCTGCTGGCCCATACTTCAGCTATTGGTTCCCCTTAATGGCCAGCATTTTGATTGACTGTTGTGTCGACAAATGGGATTGGTCTACAGAGTATTTACTTTTTCGCAATAGCTCCTCCCTCTCTCTTGATGCTTGATTGGATTGTTGCTCTCGCCCTATGCGCTGACTGGGTGTGAGACCACGCCGTCCGAAGGCGACATGCTTCCGGATAAAAGAGGGAGAGAAATTTAACACATACCCGCCTAACCGGTTGTTCGGGCGAGACGAACGTCTGGGGGGAAATAATGTTTCCTACTGTATTCATCACAGTGATTTTCCTACGTTATAATAAAAATATATTTCGACAGATAAATTAGGAAAAATGTAATTTGCATCCTGCTTGTGATGAAGGACGTAAGAGACCAAAGGCTTTTCTTTTGCAGGAATGGCACTGCAGTTTGGTAGCTTTTATTACTTAGAGAAATTGTCAAAGGTTTTAAAGCATCTGGGTGATAGACTGTAGACTCATTGTCCCAGTTAGCATAAACATGGCCCATAAGGTAAATGGTAAACCTACAATTAAATAAAAGCACATGAATGAGAACGTGAGAGAACTGATTTTGGGGAAAGCAATAGATGAAAGACTTCATGTAGTATGCCTGTGGCAACTGTATATACATTTAATAATACCGGTGTTGTTTTATCATTTGATGTGTCATCAACCATTTAACAGTGATATCTTTTAGATCTCCAGTTCTGAATCAGACGATTAAGGCGGGAAATGATCAAGAGCAGGGGTGGACAGAAAAGGGCCGCTGTGTATGCAGGCAGGTTTTACTGTAACTCCCTAATTATATTACTAATTAGAGGACTGACTGGCTGAAGAGTCCTCACACCTGGGTTTGAACAGGTGACCTAAAGGTTATCCCAAAAACCTGCACACACACCGACCCTTTGCGGATAAGATTGCCCAAAACCTGTACATGTAGCTGTTTCACTATTAGAGGCGGATGTATCCATTTGTACATCTGAGTATCTTAATGGTGTCATGCAGGTATTTTCCTGCATGGTCTGTTTGGAGATTCTCACTTTCATGTACTGTTGCACATCTTTAACAGCTACGCCACCTGCTGCCCATCCAGTATGTAGCTGTGCGGTTCCCGCCACAAATTCTTAGCAAAAGCCGGGAGAGAGGAAGGGAGACCTCATCATGCACACACCAGATCACAGAAGCCCCAGCTGCTTACTCCTGGGGGGGCGGGACGGGGGCTGTATCCTCATTTCATCCAGAGCAGGTTAGCCCTCTGCTTGCCATTTACTTCCCTGGCAAGGCTCCCAGCTGCCTGGTTCACGTGAGGGCAGTTTGCAGAGCTCGCGGGCGTGCAGCCGCTCATCTGGGCTATCCATATCAGTCCATGTCAGTTTCATCAGCTGCCACGGGAAACGGTATCATGCATCAATACGCAGAATCAACATCATGTCAGGCATTCGTCTTCCACCTATGATCATACGTTAGCGTGATCTCATGTTAATGTACGATTCACTATAGAACAAAGGCATTTCCCCCCAATTATCCTTCCAAAGGAGAGGAGCCTAAAATAGGTTTATAGAAGAATCAGAAGGAAATTTCCCTGGCACGACATCACAGATGTAATGCGAAACATTGCAGCAGTGCAGGTCACATGGTGAAGGGGCTTTTCTTTACTGTCATAAGATGCCAGGTTCGCTGCATGGACGGTGCACCTAATGACTTCCTGATGATGAAAAATGGTTAATTTGTATTTGGTCTGGGCCAAAGGAGGGGGGGGGGGGGGGGGGGGGGGGGGGGGGGGGGGGGGGGCTGGCAGACGACAGTGTGAGCTGACCTTGAAGGGGGTTAGTCCGTGGTAGACGGGGAGCGAGAGGCGGGCCTAGCTGGTTAGTACTCTGCCAAACAGGCAGGCCGCACCCCAGCAGGGCTCCACTGCACTTTGGAGCTGCGGGAGATAAGGAGACTGCTTTCTCCTGGCAAAGTTCAATGGCTGGGTTTACTACCAGAATGCAGTTTTCAGCCTTTATTCAGCCTTTACTCCTGGGGAAAGCAAATACATACCACAAGTTTAATCAGTCACAGGTAGGAGTGGACTATGCATGGTTACAGTGGGCTTTTGTTCCGCTGTGCAAAATGGTCCATAAATGCTGACCGATTTCTACGTTTGACATATAGATACACAGAACTAACCACTGGCATTAATCTACGCTCCTGTCCTGCAGAAAACTCAGTACAAATTTTCACCTTTATGTGGCACAGCTGTAGGCAAGAATCAGTTACATGTCGCTCTGATAAGGTGACAGCTTCCATTTCAGCAGAAAAGAAAAACACAAAACTGAAAGCCTTCTCTTCCCCTTGTCTGTCAAACCTGGGTTTTGGCTGCGTATGATAAGGTCGAGATGTATGCAGGTACATGTAGGACCACTGGGGCAAAACCATGGGAGGAGGAAACCACAGAAATGATGTTGGATGCTGCAAGTTACCAGATGGATCGCTGTGATAAGCATACCCATACTTGCACAGTGAATACGGCTGTCATGCAAAACGTTAAAATTCAAAGACAGGTGTTTACAAAGCCCATCACGCGATACGCAAAATCTATCTCATCGTGGATGTTTTGCAAGTTAATGAAGTCTATATTTTTAAGAATTGCTTTTGACAGTATGATTAAATGAACTTTGTGACTTATTACATGTCACTTTAGAGGTTTAGCGGGTTTGTTGCTGGGGGATGGTGGTATACAGTTCTTCGACACGTCATCCTGTCTATCACGTGAAAAGCAGAACAATGTTACACTTTCATTTATTATTTGTTTGCCGTTATGACTACTGTGATGCTTTTCTACTGTAAGCGCTAACAGAACGATTTTTATCGTACTGCTGTGAGATTTCCCGTTCGCCTTGTAGACATGCCTCATTCAAACATATCTGGTTGTTGTCTGCGAAGGATCAGGCTACTTGCTCGCTATATAATCTTATTATTTCAGCCATGCACCCATCAACACGACTCATTAAAGAGATCTGGAGAATGTCACACGCATAAAAAACACTAGCCTATGATACAAACAGGAGGCAGTGATAATCAGCCATGAAGGACCGAACGTGATCATGAATTCAGTGAAGTAGTCGGAGCGCCAGCAACGAAATTGCGCCATCTTATGGCCGAACGTTTAATGGCCGATGTATAAATGATAAACCTCGTGCTCTTAAAAAGACCTCAACCAGAAACACTTGCGTACAGGTAGTTTCATCCCTCACTCTCTGTGATTATCTGAACTAGCTATGCAGCTCTTGAATCCATATAATTGAGTTGCAAATCAGTTAGTTTAATGCTGACACAAAAATTCAATTCTATTTCAGGATCAGAGCCCGCAGGCTCGCAAAAAGGCTATTAAAAATTATGGTGATGATGCAAATGCAGCAAGAATTGCAATCAGTAGTAGAAAATATGTCATTACAGCTGATAATGTCACTGCGCAGACATCAAAACGCAGGTCAGACTTAACATAGCTTACCTTAACGCTGATGTACACATGAATACATCTTAATGTGTGCAACCATTTACGTATGGCGATCTATGAAGCTAAATCTCTGTGAAGCATTCTGTGGTGACTGGAAAGAGAGATCTGAATACAAACGGCCGGTCGAGATGCATGTAAATGCCAGGTGCCCACGGATGTACTTAACGCTGCCTGCTAGTGATGGGAGCACCCAGGACGCATGTTAATACCAGTGTGAACTGGGCCAGATGGACATGGCGGCTGGGGGTTCGAAGCCTGCAGCAGCGCAGGTTAAAGGCCGTCTTCAAGGGCTGAGTGACATGATCATTCTTCCAGCTGTAGGATTTGAACTTGCAATTTTACAGAAACAGGCTCAGATGCTTAACCTGCTGAATGCTGAGCCCCAAACTCCCCATCTGGGGGGGGGGGGGTACATTGGCCAGGTGCAGCCTGAGACTGCAAGCAGGGGCCTGTTATCATCAAAGCAAAATGCTGCTTCGCCATAGTGATCATTGAGCTGCTCCTACAAAGATCCACTACATCACTAAGTGTTCTAAGTGTTTGCTGTCATGGTAACAGTGAAAAGAGCAAACCCGAGGTGTCCAGATGGAACATGTCTGCTTCAAGATCAAATGCACAAATAAACCCAGCAAAGCGTCCAAGTATTTCCATGAGCTGTGGATACTGAGATGTAAGAGATCCAAGATCCAAGTTAAGCAAAAAAAAAAAAAACATGAATAATTGCACAGCAGACTGGGTTCCAGAAATTGATATCAATTTATTAAAATCAATCTTTTAAGCTTTAGAAAAAAAATTGGCAACAAAAGATGTCAGTCCCTAATTAAGATACTTTTATTGCCATTGGTACAGTTACATAGAGCCTCACACTGCCATGTTGTAACTTGAGTGGAAATGAAGTGGCTTCCTGCATTTACTTTACAGGCAGAGCCTAAACACTTACTGGGAACCAGGAAAACGAGACAGACATTTTTTTCTAAGTGGCTCAAAACACCGATCGCTAGCAGCACAAGAAATGGATTCTGTCATTTTGTGGTCAATCAAAAGCTCCCAGTTCTGAAGATTTTAGTTTTTGTCTGATATTCATGTGACTTTTCAGGAGTATTTTTACTTAAGACCCAAACGACAAATATGAATGAGCCGGCGCATACAGTGAAAAAACTTTATAGACATCCATTATTATCTTCAGTATACGCAGGCAACCAGATTAGTTCCTTTTTCTAAGAGCTTGAGATACTTTTTCCTCCAGCAGAACATCAGCCAAACTCAGTCTGCTTGGGGAGCTTAGTGAGAACAATGTTGACGGGATCTCTGCTCGTGGTGGACCTGTGGTCCGCCACAGAGAAGACTTTCATGGTGCTCTGTGTGAAAGCAGAACCCACCTGCCTGATCCGGGAACCACAGCTAAGCAGATGCACCAACTCGTGGCGGAACTGCCTGCTGACCACGCAGTAGAGAAGAAAGTTGGTGGTGGAACTGAGGTTTTGCAGCATGTTGGCCAGGTCGCTGGCCACGTTGATGGGCAGTCCATAATCATTGCGGTTGAAGTCCTCGCGGTTGTACACCGTGCGGAGGACGCAGTAGGTGACGAATCGGGGCATGCTAAATGCCACAAAGGCTGCGGACACTGTTCCCAGGAGCAGGACGCTTCTCTGAACTCCACCTGCAGAATTTCTCCCAGAAACCTTCATGGCTCGAAGCTCCTCCTTCGTGAAGAGGCGGTGGGCTTGCACCACGTGGCTGACGATGAGCGAATTGAAGAGAACGACGAGAAAGATGGGCAGCCCACTGGAGAGGAAGGTGGTGACCCACACCACTGTCGTGGAGTAGGGACCCTCCATGTAGAGGCACCGGGGGCCGGAGATGTTTACCCCGTCTGGCATAGTGATGTTGATGCTCACAACAGCGTTGATCCAGCACAAGGGAATGGAAGCCAGGTGGGAAAGCAGGACAATGGTTACACAGGTGAGCACAGCTGTGGTGTGAGTCTGGCGCCACCTACTGGCATAGGTGGAGCTCAGCACCAAGTAGCGTTCAATGGTGAAGGCCACCACGATCCAGGAGGAGCTGTAGAGTGAGCCGAACTGCAGGAAGGTCAGGATGCTGCACCAGGGGTGCGAGTGCCAAAAAGGCTTCTGCTGCAGGAACGTGAGGGTGAGGTCTAAAAGGATCACCCAGAGGACATAAAAGGTGTCGATGATGGTAAGGGAGCCCAAGTAAACGATGGCTGTCACCGACATCCCACATTTACGGAAACAGACCATGTAGAAAGTGAAGAGGTTGGCTGTTGAAGACAAACACAGTTCTAATAGCAAAAAAAAAAGTCTTTGTACGGCACTATGTTGGCGTCGTAATCATAGCCACTTTCACGTTTACCTTTAAGCCTGTGGCCATATTCATATGCATGTCATTTACTACTGAATTTCAGAGATATGGAAGGTGAATGTAGTATATACATAGCAGTTGAAAAATTACTGTCATTATCTACGCTATTTTTATATGAGGACTTTTGGAAAAAAACAGGTTCAAACCTGGGATTCCCAAAGCACACAGGAGGGGATAGTAGGCTTTCTGAATGGTGATGAAGACATCCATCTCTCGGCGCTTCACACCAATAGCAGCTCACATGCTAATGTTTACAATAAAACCATTACTGTCCGAGATATGATAGCAGTATTGGTTTAAGATAAGAGGTATCACCAAACAGTCACTACAATAAAAGATAAATGTCTGTTATTACATCACATAGCTTACGTGTCATTTTCCTTGAACTAGTGCAGGAAGTTTCTTTTTTCCTTTGAATTGCTGCATCGCCTACACAACACTGCCAAGATTATACACACTGTTTTTGTTGTGTTTCAGCGGTTTGTATTCGTACCATAATCACTTGCCAGGACTTTCCTAACCTAGTAAATATTTTAGATTTTTCAATTAGGAAGATTACCAGTTATGTCAATCTTCATGAAAATTAAACTATGAAACAAGCACAACTGATGGCATTTAAAAGTTAATTGACAAAATCCTTTATTGTGTTAGTCTTACCCAACACAGAGCAAATATTAATGTAAACACTTCATTGTTGCACTGGAAATAAATCTTATTGCGCTAACTTCCTTAAAATTTGCATATGAAATAACGAATCCAGGGCTTATGCTGGTTCGGTCATGGGGCCCATAAGAAACAAGATGAATAAAATCACTTTAAATCCACACTACAGCTATGTCCAGGAACTGTGTACCTTTGGGAAGGTTCCTCGCTGCTTATTCTGGGGAGCATTTCATACGGATCAGTTTTCGGAGGCGACGGTGGATGGAGGTTCGGACGCAGCTTTGCACGCGCGTCTTTGGGGGAGAGTAAAAGCAAACGAGACAATGCTCTTATTTACAGGACAGATTCAGCAAAGGTATAATGGGAATAATGGGAATAATGGGAATAATGGGTCAGCATTCACTCCGCCCTCCGCATGAACTTAACAGGATGATCAATGCGGTCCCCAATATGCTATCAGAGATTTCAAGGCAGCCAGATTATAAAATCGACTTTATACCTAAATATTTTCCTTGACCCATGACTACATTTATTAAGGTAAAATAAACTGATAATTTCATTTATTTAGTGAGTAGTAATGAATTGGGGGAAAAACTTACGCCACTCTGATAGACGTGAAGAGCATCCGTTGGCGACGAAGGTGCCGAGATACAGAGGTGGGATGAGTGAGGAGCATTTAAAACAGGACCGGGATCCGATCGATACGGCGTCAGGCGGAGTCCGCGCAATCACAGGAAAAGCGGCACCTCGCCGTCTCCGTCCTACGGCCAGGAATTGATCCGTGTAATGCGATGTGTTTTACGCGTGAGGGCCTATTTATCGGGGACCAGATGCCACGCAATTAATCGCCTTTGCGAAAAAAAATGTATTTACACTTAAGTGCATTATACTGGTAGACTAGCCTCGGATGTTACAGCAAACCCTTAGCAGTGTTTCTGGAATAGCTTTCACGGAAACATGCTTATTAAAACAGATGGGAAAAGAGCCACGCCGTGAATCCAACTCCCTCTACTGGGCATAGATGGTTGCTGCAGCCTGTCTGAAAGTTAGTTGTATGTCAACGTTGGACTCAATTGAAAACGAGATAAGTACTGAATGGAAAAAAAAAAAGTCACCGATTCGTGCTCTGGTTCGTGAATACACAGCTCTTATCCCGGAGTTGCTGTCCTCGTCACATGCATCAGATTCTCTCCAACTTCAAGAAACACCTCATTTGGCACCACTAGGGTGATTAGGAAATAACTGAATTAGCCGTCAGAAAGTCTCCTGTCCTGCTGCTTCCCTGCCTAAGGCTCCTCGGACTCCAGGAGGTCACTCTATATATGCAAATTCACCCACATCATCTATACATGGTACCTTGTAGGGAAGGGTCATTTGGTGTATAAAGGGGGCAACGAACTGCTTAACCTTGACCACACTGAGTCACAAACATTGCGAAGTTGCTCATAAATGTTAAACTAGAGGGGGAGGTCACCTGTCACCCAGCCAGACTGGTCAGGGAGTCACACGTGAAGACCAGGTTCTAGGTCAAGGGGCACCTTGTGTCCGAGACAGAGACCAGTACAAAGGTGAGTATGAACTCCTGCACATAAAGGTGAGAATCAAAGGGAACTTCTGGTCACCTCCTTATGCCCTCCTGCTGCTCTCGGGGACCTTCATACAATTGAGTAAGAGCTGCCATCTGGAGCAGTGAAGATCTTCACCTTGCAAACAGGACATATGGAGATCAATATCGGACATGATACACACGGTGTCCATGGCAACGACCCATGGCAACAAAGCAGGCTATATTCCAAAAACAGACCACTAAATTGAAAAGAGTGTAAAATGTTTATTGTCCTCATTTTTAAATGGCAAATTACTTATTTCACAAAAATGATGTTAAAAATGGAACATGGAGGAATAATGAGAAATAAAAGCCATGGACAGTTATATTAAAAACAAAATGTGAAATTAAAAAAAAAAAAAGATGAAGCTGTTTGACAGGCTGCAATTTTCCCTGATCTTGTACTGTGTCCAACTTAAGCTCAAGTCTAAACTCTAACCTTTGGAGCCAACCATATGCTCTTTGATCAGTCAATCCAGGACAGTTTGCACATTATTGATTTATAAAACAATTAAAGAAGAGGCCTGACAAAGAGGTCAGGACAGACATGGGCGGTGCACTGCAGGACTGCAGTGAGTGGTGCTTTCGGGAGCGGCAGCGAATTCTGCGGGCTGTTACAAAGCGATTCTTCATGTAACGTAAATGAAGACATAGGATCCACAGGAATGGCCGTGAATCGAACACTGTACACAAGTTAAAAAAATATTTTTTCCTGCTTAAATAAACTGCAAGTCAATCCCATATACACACCGTCTTCCGTCATTCCAGTTTTAAAGGCACCCAGAGCTGACGTCTAGATGCATACGCAGCCCTTCTGAGTGACAGAGGGCCGTTCACACGCAGACTTCTTGCATTTCGAGCCGTAATTACAAATAACCCCGACACACTCTCACCAGTCTGACGTCTATCACCTTGGAAGAAACTGCCGTTTTACAATGATAGATCAACAACAGAAACTACTTCTAACAAAAGCTGGAAAACGACGGAGAACATTGTCATACTTGGCTGAATTGGAGGGTGTGGCGAATGAGCATGTAATGCGGGAGCGCATTTTATTTTTTTTTTTCTTGGAGAGAAGGGCGATTTCTCCCTCTTCACATATTGTGGGCATTACGCTACCCGAGAAAAAGCGAAACCGAAAATAAGAGCCTTTCCTATGAACGAGAAAGCGGGTTGGAGTTAATGCCCAGGTCAGAAAACCTCAGCAGGTTAATTGGTTTTAAAAAGAGTCGTTACCTTCATTATTCTTGTTATTTATTGTCCCAGATGAAAATAAAGCCTGTAGCAATATATATACACACATATATATAAAAAAAATTAAGAAAACAAACAAAAAACAAATAAAAGTATAAGTGGTCAAGTAGCTTTGTATTTACACAGGTGATTGCTCATCAAATCACATGCCAGCCACCCTAGAAACCAAGCCCCCCCCCCCCCCCAACCTATGAAAATCAGCTCCTCAGACACTGTGAAACTGACAATTTGTTGAGTCTCTTTCTCGCATTGGACTGGACCCGCCGGGGGCCGAAGGAGCTCGCCGATAGTCGACGGGACTCCTGAAAGTATCCCACGCCTTGGCAGGTCCACCTCTCCCCCACCTCAGCCCAGGCCGGGGCGGTGCGGTGCGGTCCATCGCGGCCCAGGAGAGCGCCCCCTACAGGTTGTCTCCTGGCTGATATTGAGGCTCAGTGGCGGTGAAATAGTCCTCCAGGAAGGCCTGCAGGTACTCGAAGGTGGGCCTCTCCTCGGGGTCCTTCTTCCAGCACTGAACCATGAGCTCGTGCAGGGAGATGGGACAGTCCTGGGGACAGGCCATCCTGTAGCCGCGCTCCACCTGCTCCAACACCTCCCGGTTGTTCATTCCTGCCAGGTGACGGAGACACACAGGCTCAGCAAATCGGGGCCAGCCACTCAAACGATGGAAAATGGAGCTGAAAGCGACTCTCCTCTGAAAAAGAGAGCTCTGCCACAGATGTTAAGGAAAAACATCTGCAAACAGACTATTAGGGGGCAGCGTGTGGCTCAGTGGGCTAAGCCTGTGTGCCTGTAATCAGAAGGTCGCCAGTTGGAAGCCAGCCTCAGCACGTCTGTGGGTCCTTGAGCAAGGCCCTTAACCCCCAGCTCCCTGGGCGCCGCTACGGGTGGCTGCCCTTCGCAGACAACTTACTCCACAAAGATCAAGCTGAGGGAGGCGTAAAGACAACTTCCCCACAAGGGTTAATGAAGTATCAATTATTATTATTAGCGATCAGACCTCATCTGTAAAAAGGGCTCTGACATGTGCTTGTATATATGTTGGCTTAATTCTATGGAAAACTTAAAACAGGCATCAAATGGGGCTGGGGGGGGCATTATTCCCCATATTCATTACCCACATCTGTCACAGCCAGGGGGCAGGTTGACTCGGCACCAGCCTATTAGCTCATTCAGACTCACCCTATTGCATCACCTCCGCTCTCACCGGCCAAGGTGGCCCCTGCAAACTTGCACTCAAATTCCACAAAAGCTACCATCTCATCAGCATTTCGCGCTTTCTAAAAATGTCATACTGACATTCACATCAGCTGCACTCACAGCCTTTATTTATCTTTAGTAAAAAAAAACACAATGCAAATGTGTGGCATTATTAAAAAAAAAAAAACACCCTATCAATAATAATTGCTGAGAAAACTTCAATGCAGGACGGAGGCATTATAGAAACTCAGAAATGACAAACAAAACAAGCAAACAAATCCATGAGCCGCTAATTAGCCACGTATCTTAAAAAACAACAGGTTAGTCCTGACTTTGTACACAAGCAAAAGCAGTGAAATGAGGAGCGGTATTACGTTCAGGGTGGTAAGCGTGAGTGGCACGACCACGCCAAACGCTCCCTCAAAAGGACAGTAATAAATGCGGGCACTTTACCCATCATGCATCACGCCCTCACCTGGGTAGGGGACCCGGCCCTTGGTCACCAGCTCAGTAAGCAGGATCCCGAAGGACCAGACGTCGGACTTGATGGTGAACCTCCCGTACAGCGCTGCCTCGGGGGCCGTCCACTTGATGGGGAATTTGGCTCCTAAGGCGATGGTGCAGAGGGGACAGACAGGAAATGACACGTGTGGCCACACCCAGTGGGTGGAGCTAGCTGCTGCAGTGCAGTAACTAGGCTCGTGTCTGCGGGCGCCCAGGGGACGCCTAGCGCCCGGCCAGTCAATGTTAAATCAGGGAAACGTTCTGGGTGGGAGATGAGAGCACGATGACATCAGCCACAGCTGCGCCCAGCACCCGCTCTGACAGAATGACATGTGGTCCAGCCCCCCCCCCGTGCATGACGTGCTGGGAGGGGAGCGCCTCTCACCCTGCCGTGCCGTGTACTCATTATCCTCGATGAGCCTGGCCAGCCCAAAGTCGGCGATCTTGCACACCAAGCTGTCGCCCACAAGGATGTTGGCCGACCGCAGGTCTCTGTGGATGTAGTTCATCCTCTCGATGTAGGCCATGCCCCCCGCCACCTGCAGAGACAGGGCCACAGCGTCCACATGGGCTCGCGTGCAGTGACTCCTCCGCGCCACAAGGTGGCATAACCGAAGACCACTGCCACCTATGGGGATCTGGGCTGCTTTTTATGTGTCAGTGATGAGGGTGATGCCCCCTATCTGTCTGCGCTACGAGCATCTTACTGAGGCAGAGGAGGGGTGCAGGTCAAGAGGCGTTAAAACAGAAAAAGATGCTGGAGCAACAACAACAATAATAATAATAATACTTAAGCTCCTTGCTTTACGATATTTTGGCTCTACAGTGTGACAGCAATGTACATTCAGTGGCCATCGAATGTTGAATTTTGAATGTGATCTATTCGCTTTTCTTGTATTTACTAATTATCTATCTATATTTGATTTACGATATTTTCAACTTACACCCGGTTCATTGGAATGTAACCAGCATGTGTAATAAGAAACTGACAGAATTACAGGCAAATTAATAGGCAATTATAGGCAAGTTAAATTCCGTTATTCATTTCACTAATAATTCTCCCTGATACCGATTTCTGACTGCCAGCCCAGTGTGTCCCCCCCCAGAGAGGGGACACACTGCGTCCCGCCACCCTGCTGGGACGGCCGCCGCTCCGAAGGGCCTCACCTGGGCCGCCATGTCCACCAGGTTGGGCAGCTTGAGAGAGCGGCCTTCTCCGTCCTTCAGGAACTCCAGCAGGCTTCCTGGAAGCAGGAGGCCACACCGCGAGTCAGCAGCCATGCACAGCATCAGAGCCCCACCCATCACTCTAGGTGGGGGGGCTTTTCAATGCCCAGAAAAGACGGGCAGAGCGAACGGACGTCTTTATGATCTTCAGAACTGTTCCCATGGTTCATCTAGACACGTACATTTTTTCCTATCTTCAGACTGTCTAAATGACTGACTGTGAATGAGTCAATACCGTGACAAAGCAGCAGGTGGTAGCAAATCAGAACGAGGGACTCAGTGACACCGATACTGAGCTCAGCGCTCTGGTGGCGGCGGCAGTGACCCCTGACCTTTGCCCATGTACTCGGTGATGATGTAAATGGGCTCCTCGGACACCACGGCGTACAGCTGCACCAGCTTGTCATGCCGCAGCTTCTTCATGATCTGCGCCTCCTCCAGGAAGGACTCCGGCGACATGGTGCCCGGTTTCAGCGTCTTCACGGCCACCTTGGTGGTGCCGTTCCACGTCCCTGCAGCACCAAGCAAGCGCCACCGTTAGGGCGCATGCAGCGGATATAGAGGGCCGGTGTGCCAATGAAAGGGTGGCATTTGTGAGCGAGTGGGTGAGCGTTTGAGTCCCAGCAGGGAATAAGCTGTTTTAGGAACAGCAGCACCCTGCACTGCAAATTGCTGCAGCAAACATTGGGCCTTATAAAAGAAGCATCTTAAAATATCAAATGTGCAAAGTCATTTTCAATGCAAAAACACTTGCATCTCAGATTTTACTCATTGCTTTTTAGAAGAAAATACAATTTTGAGGCTATTTTACAGAAAAGGATTGAAAATGCGAGTAGAAGAGGAAGAGAAGCGACGCCGACTCTGGGGTTCATTTGCCTTCGCAGCAAACACAGACGCATCATGAGGCCAGGGCGTCTGACAGCAATGCGTCTGCCTGCGTGGCACCAGACGACGGTCTGACGCATCAAAAGGGCACGGCGTTCTACCGCCTGCCAGGATAATCCAACGCAGGGCGATTAACATGAAGAGCGGCGTGGTGAAGCTCCGCTCTCCGACGCCATCTGGCATGGCGCGAGCGGGCATGCCTCATTACCCAAAATTCAGTGTGGGCCGACCCGCTCACACCCACGGTCGCTCACTGATCAGAACAATTTCAAGGGTCTGGTGAGATGGTGCTGAAGCCAAACGAACCCCAGTGAAGAACCAATAGGCTCCTGTCAGGTCTCACTCAATGCTCCAGCGTATTGAAGTTGGGTTGTTGAGGGGATAGACCCCCATAGATGGGGCCTTCCAGAGCTCCATGTGGAGAGAATTGATATTACGCGTCATGGTATTTCTAGCCCTGTAGGGGGCGCTAAAAAATAAGTTTTGAGACACCAGTAAGTAAACCAAAATTCAATACGCTGCACTAGTTATAATGGCAGACTAGGAAGGAGGAAAGAGCGAGTTGGCACAGAAAGTTTCTATTAAGGGGGAAGATCTGAGAAACGGAAAGTCTGTAGGAATTCAGGATACCCTGGAAAAACCAGAGAACCCACGTCAGTCTGCCCATTGCGAGGTGGGACGTGCCGATCAGGCTGTGGAGAGCAGGCAGATGGCCATCCATACTTCTCGCAGAGGCCAATTAGTGTCACATGACTCTTTTCCATGGGGAACATGGTGTGGGTTATCGGATTTTTCCAGACGGGTCGTTACAGTAAAATAAGAAGTCGTTTCCTTACCAAACCAGACCTCGGCAAAACATCCAGCCCCGAGCTTAAGCTCCAGCGATAAGGAATCGCGGGAGACTTCCCATGCATCGTGGGACAGGCCCACAGTTTCAGGGGACAGGTTCACACACACGCTTGTTAAGTGATAGCACAAACCATCCGCGCTCTCTACAGGGGAGGGGAGGGGAAGGAAGGAACAGAATTAACTATCAGGGGGATGAACATGCAAGGAGGGAGGTGGAAGGTGCAGGCTTCACCCTGGGTGAGCAGAACGCCCCCGAAAATCCACCTACAGTATTCATAAAAGCATTAGCATCTCTAAATTTACATATGCATCCGTAATTCACCAGAACTCCCTCATTTTCCCGTGGCTGAGTCACGTCTTCATTACCCAGAATGCACAGTTCCGCCTCCCAGGGCTGCACCTTCCACGCTGCCTGAGGCCGGTTTCCGCGGCGGCGGTGGGCATGCACGCATACCCATCCAGACCTCCCCAAACTGCCCATTGCCCAGCCTCTTGATGAGCTGCAGCGACTCCCGCGGAATCTCCCACACGTCTTTGGTTTTGACGGACAGGTCGGCCAGGCGCGGCATGCCCTTGTGGCAGGGCACCACCAGGCGGCAGCAGAGGCCCGCGGCGCGCTCTGCGCGAGGAGAGAGCGGGGGGGAGACACAGGCAGGCGGCGTGAGGGGGAGGAAGAGTGCGGGGGAGGGGGGGGGACGGAGCTGCGAGGCGGGGGCGCTCCAGAGACTGGGTGGCCGCGTGGCAAAAGCAAACTAGGCCAGGGCAGATGTCAGCGTGCGCGTCATCCCATCCACGGGCGGAACCACCAAGGTTTGGGAGACAAAACAGCGGATTTTAAACATCTCAGAGGTACTGCAGGGAGAGAGACTCAGAGAAGGGGCTAGACATCACCCTCAGAGTGCGGGCGCTCATAGATCCGCCGTGCGCCATGTAACATGAAACAGCAGCAATGTGTATATTTAAATTAAGTCGTGCTATAAATTACAATTAGCATGAGCGTGTGGTCTGAGGGTCCATCGCACTGGGACTGACAGCGGTTCTGCCATCAACACCCTAAACATAATGGGCTGGTATGTCTTCCTCTTCTCGTGTGACAGGATGGCCTGGTTCACCCCTTTACTGCATAGGGTGACCATTTCACACTCCGGAGGGGGGGTGGCCCACCTGTAGGTTCCA